TTGGTCTATGACTATTTTTCTATTGTACAGTCCCATGACTGCTCCACAGTGTTGATCTTTTACACAGTATAAGACATACAGCAGTTACAGCAAAGCAGTTAACTTAACCAATGTCTCTTAAGTGCTATGCTAGAATTCTAAATGCGGGACAATTTTTTTTACTTAACAGATCTACCCTAATTGACAAATGCTTCTCTATCCATCTTGCTTGTTACCTTGGACACTTCAGTGTTTCATGTGCCTTTCCCAAATAGCTTTGCTTTCCACTATTAATGATTTTCAACAACTGTTCTGTCTGGACATCAGACTATTTGCTTCCCAGACTCTGCTGTAAACTAAATGAATTCCTTCAATAGCACAGTCTTCATCGTCAAGATGCTTTATTCTTAGAGAAACTAAGAGAGGCAGCTATGCTCTTCCTATGCTAACTGGAGTGAAGCATAGGACTTTTTGATTTGCACATTCCAGTATATGAGGGAGGAAATCAAGCCCAGATTAAACTTTTTACGTACTTTCTGACCTGGAACCAATGAAGGGGAATTTGGGACCAGATTTTGCAAGATCCTGCATGAATCTGTGCTATGTATTTCCACATTTATTAACACTGACAAACAATATGAAATAGTCAAGCTGCAAAATAAGAAATAAATTTTTTTACAGCTAATTGCCTACTCCTGTATGTCATTTACATTATGGTTTAGATTACTCTTGAGAGAATGCACAAGGAGAATAAAAAATGTCATGAAAAACTAACACCAATGGCTACTGGCCAGCTTCCCCTCACAGTGAGCTTCATAGATGCAGTAACCAAATTATTTCTTTTCTCCTTTTCAAAATAGAGTATTTTGCACCTTTCCCATGTTCATCTAACTGTTCTGATCATTTTTGTGAGGTAGCTTCTTATCAAAAGAGGAATTTTCTTCTAAGCAATTCTGAGCAATAATGTCATAAATTAAGAAACATTCCAAGACAATCATTAATTTCATGATTTCAAAGTTTTTTTGCATATAGTCGGAATTTAAATGGAAAACATTATGAATATATCTCTGGAAGAAAAAACCAAAACATACAGTAATTCCACTGGAAAAACAGTGTCTATATTAATTTACAGTAATTATTAGGTCTCCATATTATAGTAAAACTAATATAATTTGTTGCATATAACTAAACCTACTAAAGAGCATTTCCATTTTGAGAATATCTAATCCCTTTTCAAAAAGCATGGGTATATCAAATACAGTTAATGAAGTATTAACGCAGTTTACACATGATGTCTTTCATGTGAGAATCACAAAGTACTTGACAAAGATTATCTTTCACTACAAAAAATAGCAAGAATCTTTATTTAACATTCTGTGTACCAGAAAAGTGAGATGCTCTCAGAAAAAGAGATTAACCAACTATTCTAGCATCACATGTCAAGTAGCTAAACTGGAAATAGAACCTAAAGGTTCTGGCACCTAATTCCCTGTTGAAGGCACTAGACTACATTAAATCCAGTTATAGAAAACAGCACTGACATCAGCAGAAGTACAGTTTATCCCCTCTAGCATTTTAGAATGTCAGTCTCCATAACACTCTCAGTGTTTTTTGTTACAAAACAGCAAGTATAAGATTTAATTGGTATTAATTGTAATTAGGAAATGTAAACAGTTCAGTTTAAGCAAATCAATATGGATTTTCTTACAGTATTTCTAATTTAGCATTCACTAGAAATTATGGGAAATGGTGCGTGTGAGAAAAACCTGAGTATCTATGAGTTCCAGCCCCATTTTCAAGCCAGAAGTTTCAGAAAAGCATCTGAGCTTTGGATACTTGCTGTGAGTTGGCAGAAAGATAACAGACAATTTTTTCTTACATTTGCTTAAACCAGCCACAACTCTTTTTTAAACAAACAAAACTGAAAGCAGATGCTTAACGGATGCTCAGTATTATCAGTTAACTCCTAATTTCAGAGAAGCAGCTGAGTTTGCAGACACTTATCTAAACTGAACCTCTGAGCTTGACATCTGTCCAATGCGTAATCTAGTACCATAAATCAGTATGTGTTTCTGTGTTATTTTTACCTATCTTCAGTGTTGAATTTTAAAGGATTTCCATTCCAGTGCCACAGAAAGTATCACCCACCAAGTTATAAAGATTCAAATCAGGCTGCTGACTGAAGGAGAAACAGGGTCAATAATTATAGGATCTGACAACTTTCTGACAACTCATCTCAGAAAAAGGTAGAGGAAACAGAAATGTCAAAAGATGACAAGTTAAATTAGACAAAATTAAATTTGTATGATTAGATATCATAATACATAATATTATAAAGTAAAAGGAGACCAAGACAACATAAGAAAAAAGTGGACAAGCCATGTGCTTTTGCTCTTTCTAGAATACAAAATGCCTGACACACTAAAAAGTGTCCAATAAATTTAATGCTTTCTGTAAAGAACTCATTGTCGCAGAACACCATGCAGGAACATTTTTTTTTTTAATATATACATTATTCACAAAAATAAGGATAAAATTTTCTGTTATACTGACGAAGATAAATTTATCTGAATTTCCACGTCAATAGGCATAAACAGGGCAAATGTTTGGAGGAATGTGTTTTTTCTATTTGAAATGAAAACGCACAATTAAATTGCAATTTTCTGTAAAGTAGAACTAATCTTCTTCCAAGATCAACTAGGTCTTTTTTATCATATTCCATTCCTCAGAAAATAGGGTAGCTCATCTCTGCAGTATAAACCAGGTATTGCGTTGCCTTTATCGTTGGGACTGTGGTGATACGCATTTCCTATTCCTTCTGCTGGCTTTAGCTGGGGTGGAGTTAACCGCCATAGCAGCTTGTCTGGTGCTATGTATTGGATCTGAGATGAAAACAGTGTTGATAACACACCCATGTTTTAGCTGTTGCTGAACAGTGCTTGCACAGCACCAAGGCCTTCGCTATTTCTAATGCTGATCCCCAGGAAGTAGGGTGGGGTTGCATGAGGAGCTGGGAGGGGCCACACAGCTGGGGCAGCTGGCTGAAAGGATGAAAGGGATAACCCAGACCATGTAACATTGTGCTCAGCAATAAATCTGGGGAAAGAGGTGGAAGGGGGAAGTTCAGAGTTATGGTGTTTGTCTTCCCAAGTAGTGGCTACATGTGATGGAGGCCAGCTTTCCTGGAGATGGCTAAGCACCTGCCTGCTGATGGGAAGCGGTGAATCAATTCCTTGTTTTGCTTTGCTTGTGCATGCAACGTTTGCTTTCCCTGTTAAATTGTCTTTATCTCAACCCATGAGTTTTCTCTTTTACCCTTCAGACCTTCTTTCCCACCCCAGCAAGGGGGAATGACCGAGCAGCTGTGTAGTGGTTAGATGCCTACTGGACTAACCACAGCAGTCCTCAAGAGATCCAGGGTGTAACGAGAATTACAGAATCTGTGATAAGTTCGTGGAAGACACCATTTGGTAACAGTCTTGGCAAGACCTGGGCAAAATTGAATTACAGTACAGATTTATATCAGAGTCTATCATTTTGAATGCTCTGCTCTGATTCATGTCTGGCCAGTAGTGAGGAAAGAATACAGACTTAATTTCTGAGCTGCTCTAACAGGGTAATTCATACAGTACAATGAATCAGTTATTCTTTACAAGATACAATGACATTGATCTGTTACAATACTTTGGGCAAGCAAGATCAAGAAGCATGTTGGAGATCATAATGGTTCTGTACAAATATATATATAGTACTATCTCAATCTTGATGTTATTATTAAACTGTAAGTGAAAATTTCTGAATAAGTTGAAAAGACAATACAACTGTCCTGCAGTGGCAGAGATTTAATACTGTCCAAATATACCTCCAACTAAAAAAATATATCAAATAAATATAACCATTCAGCTCCATAGCCTGCGAGAAGGGTGAAGAGGAACACTAGTTTATTTAACAGTACAATTTAAGAGACTGGTACTTTTAAAACATCTTGTTTTCACTTATCGAAGTATTTAATAAGATAGCTTCATGAAATAAAATTATTAAAATGACATTAGGACAGAGTTTATAAAAAAGATCAAGCTAATTCATAAATTATTACAACAATCTGAGTGATCACTAATAGTAAGCATTCTGTCTGGATTAGTAAATTCAGATAGTTCACTTGACTTCTCAAGCAGTAAACTGTTAAACTGTTCGTGATTTCTCTGCTAAAAACTAGCCCTTTGGTAATATTTAATTCTTAACAATTCTTAACATAGTGGTCAGAAATGCAGCACTTACTCTGTTTACCCAAATAGTCTGTACTCGTACAACCTGTAGGGAAAAAATAATCTATTCCCTTATCTGTTTTGCACAGCTCCAAAGACAATGGTGCTGGCAGAAGTAGGTGACTGGGAACATGTCTGGAAAACAGGAGAGCAGGACTGCTCTTTTCCACAACAACCCGCATTTACGTTGTCTTGAACTGATGATCAAATTGTACTTTGGATCTCACCCCTGTTGACTCCAGACTCTACCCTGGTAAATCACTTCATTATGCCTATTTCTGTCTCACACAAGACAAAATCTTTAAATATGAATTAGTCAGTTCATAAACCCACATTACTGATAAAAGATGCCATTACTTCATGTATATTTGTGGACTTTCTCTAGAAGTGTATTTTTCACTCTTGTCTTTTACAAATTTGAAGCTTTATATACTCTCTTATAAATTTGGTCTATGATGAATATGTTTTTCACTTTGCCTACAAATAATGATAAAAAACAAAGCAGAAAATAATCAAGAGGAAATAGATGAGATCAAGGGAACAATCACCTTTGAGAAGTGATGTCTGAGATCTGTGTAACCATTATTCTTAACATATATAACGCACATTAAGAACATAATCCATAACAGTAGGAATTTTAAGAGGCAACATTAACAATAACTTAATGCACCTTACATTATGTATAACTTTGTAAACCACTACACTATTTCCCAATAATTTTTTTTTTTTTTTTTTTTTTTTTTTAAATGTGGTTACCTTTCTGGAAGAATTCCTCTAATTTCTCCTTAAAGGGCTGGAGATGCTCTTCAGAAGACTCTCTGCAAACTAACTTCATCTGCTTTTCAGAAGCTACAAAAAGAAGTTAAGAGACAGTTGTGGAATAATTCGTCTACCAGAAGTAGATGTCAACACTGTAGAAGCCTACATTGAAATTAGCCATCTAGACATACTTTAGAGGAAATGGAAATAAACAAGCACTAAGGAATCCAGTAATTACATTAAATAAAAAATACCAATACTCGTCTAGCATACCAAATTCTATACGTGTTTAAAGAGTTGAATTTGTCTTTAGTAATGACTTTGCCCTAAAACTCCAGCTGTGTGCTAAGACTTGCCACTAACACAGCTTGCCTCACACACAAATTCTAGATGGTATTTAAAGCTCTAAACTTTGTTTCTGTGGTGAATGTATCTGGACTGATTTTAATCAGTCAATGCCAGGCATCCTATACTCAACCATTTTTCCTAACACAGATGAAGGAATTCAGCTTTACGTAAGTATTCAAATGCCAGGTCATGATATGAAATAGTAGATGTCTGTAAAAAAGGTAATTTACATCTAACTGCAATTTGTTTACTATTTAATGTGTTATTTTAAGACCTGATGCCATGCCAATTTCTAAAAACTCCAGATTATTTGACAATGAATGTTAACATTCCTAGAACTTCTAGTAAACTTTGTAGATACCAGAGTTCCACATTAAAGATGAAATGAGACTCTTAGAAATAAAAATGCAGTTACCTTCCATTTAGCAACTGAATTTATGAACTACTGTAAGATTTTTTTCCCCATAACTCTTCATTCCCAAGAAACTAAATTTAGATGGAAACTTATTTTAGAGTTAAACCAAAGAGTTACACTTTGGCTGCATGAAACATATTCACACCATATTGCTACCACCATTACATAATTCAACTTACTCCAGCAAAAATTAACACAAAATTGTGAAAGTTGAGAATTTGTAATCAAAATGTCATATTAATGCAGGTTTGCAGTACAGTGAAAAAATCAATGGAAGGTTGAAAACCAATGCATACATTTTATTGTACAACTAGTAGCGGGCCTATAATATTCTTGGACCACCATTACTTACTGAAAAAGACAGCTTTTCAATTAACTGAGATCAGAAATACAGTTGTTGTTACAGAAAAAATGCTGAAAAGATACCTATTCCCACCTAAGTGAGTATTTTAATTTAGCATCCCTCCACAACTCATGTAAGTTGTGAACTATGACATTATTGGGGAGCTCCACAGCACATGTAAAACGGCCTGGGCTACAGTCTAACTTCATCTTTAATCACTAGTCTTGCAACCTGTAGCATAAGATAGACCTTTGAAACTGTTCAGAGTAAAGTTAATGGATATTTGTTTGCATGCCAGATAGCAGACAGACTGAAGCATTAATTTAAACAGATTGGGAAAAAAGTTTTTTATTAGCTGCTCAGTTATCTGTCTTTAATTTATTAAATTAAGCAAAACAAATCAGAAATCAGGGAAGTTTATATGACTCTTAAAGATTATTTTCTTATGATATATGCCTCTTACCATTCAAAATTTGAACTTTCCATGACTGTTATCATACACTGAATGAAATTTATGTTTACCTAACATTTATGTTTAAAGAATTAGAAGGAGATTTCTACAGCTATTCAAGCAAATTGTAACATTTACTTTGTAAGAAGATAGACATAGACAGGAAAAAATTCACGGACACAAGAGGAAAAAATTTAGCAAAATAACTGAGACAGTATTATTCAGTTTCTGACTAAAGTTTGAACAAAGTAGCAGCTACAGGTTTGTGTTTCTTCTTTGTGTTTAAACAAATCTACACAAAATCACATAAGGCAATATTTAGAAATTATTTTGATAAATATAAAATGACAAAAGTATAAAAGTATTAGTACACATTTTATGATTGGGCATTTGGTACATGGTGACTATATAATGCACAAGATTATTACAATCATTTAAGGTTGCAACGACTGAAAACCAATAATTATTTTATAATAATCTTATATAAATTTGTATAAATCATTACAAAATTAGATTTCTATGAATATGTATTATAATAATAAGCTTGTAGCTACAGTAGTACCTAAATATACTCTAACATACTCTAGAAAGTTTTTTACCCAAACATATGGTGTTGCTAATGCATTGTCTGGAGTATTGAAAGCTTCCTAGATGCTTCCTACAAGCTTTAATAACACAAGATTTAAAAGCTGTCATGTAAATATTTAAATGACTGAGACTAGGATTAACTGCTTCTAAATGAAAAAGAACATATAAAACACCTTCAATATCTTTTTGTCTTTTTTTTTAGATGAAGATGACCAACATTAATCTTAATCAGATGACAAAGCTAGAGGAAAACATGGACAAGAAGAAGTACCAAGGTATACAGAAAAAGCTGATTTGGGTAGTGAATTCTTAAGAAGAATCTGGACATCCTTAACAAGAACATCAGCATTTGACATGAGGGGAGAGGAAGAGTAAGAAGAAAGGCACAGAAGAGAAGAGCAAATGAGACATAACGTAAAATAAGTGAATCAGGGGTGCTGATGAAAACTCTAAAGGTTTGAGATGAGATAAAATGAAATGAGATAGGTATCAATTTGCATTGCTTATGTCATCTTGAAACAATGAAACTGAAAGAGACAAAAGAAGTCAAGTAAATGCTGGCAGACTCTAAGAATTTACATTATTGGAAAGTCTTAAAAAGAAACCTTTGGATGATTCTCTCTGCTGATGATATTTACCTAGATGATATCTATCTAAAACTAAAATCTATCTGTTTACTTCCTGAAGTTCTTTCAGATAATTGCCAAAATAGACCGAAAGGCTTTGAGAAAGTTTCAGCTTTGAGCTGAAGAGTGATGAAGTGAAAATCTGTTAATCACAAAAGCAATGTCTTATACTGCCTAACCTTCCTTTAAATGACTCTGAATTTAGGTTATATTTCACTTAACCTATACTTTTGGTCTACACACAAATAAAATGTATCTGGTCAACTGAAGGTTAGCTAATTCTGTTTCAATTCAACTGCAATGAAATATTTGAATAAAACCTGAATTTATTTACTTGTTAATGTTAAAGATAAGACACATCACATAGTTATGGAGTCACTGGCTGAAGGCAGTCATTAACTTCAGGTGGAACTGCAGTCTCAAAAAATTTTGCATTCCTGCTGAAATCTCTCCAGTCTCAGTCTTCTCTTAATGAAATGTCCTATGCAGAATAACAATTCCTTGTCCAATACCTAAAAGAAAATGATGGCTAGGAGCACCAAACAAGTGTATCATTTAGGCTGAAGAATTCTGGAACATCACCAAATTTGCTTGGGGATAGGTATGGCAAAGAATGGTGGAAGCGTGTTCAAAGGAATCGCAAATCAGATACAAATAAAGACACACTTGGAAGAGGAAAAAGGTTTTAATGTCAGGGTTAAATCAAAGATTTTGAATATAATGACAGCTGATATTCTACATATTCAAGTCAGCTGGTCTTTGTCAACCTAGATTTGTAATACTGGTGAAAGGCTACCATACAACTGTATGACTTGCCTCAGTTCTACACACCATAATATAAAGGTTTCTGGTAACTAACACTCATAGAATTTCCTGTTATGTAAGCTCTTTTTATTTTCTGTTTACTCAAAAATTTATTTTAAATATATTGTTTAAAAAAAAAAAAATTACCAAGTCATGCCAAACATTACATAAAAAAAAAAAACCTGAAAAGTTCTGTTCCATCAGTTGCTCTGTTTTTCTTTCCTAAAAATGAACATTGAGTGAATTTTATATGTTTTGTTCTCATATTCGCTACAATAGAAACCCTTTCCTTTCTAAAACAAAATTATTTTAGCAAGTTTTTATTAAAATGACTCTGAGGTAAAGGTTCCTATTATGCATTGCTTCTTTGAAACAAATTCAGAAAAGTTTAATTCTGAAAAAATTCTGAAATTCTGAGGAATCTGAAGGAATTTTGAGGAATCTGACAGCTAACACACCACATGTACGCCTCTCACCACCTCATTCCAAAATAATCATCTGAGAACATAAACAACCTGTTTCAGCATTATTGAGTTCAAACAGATGCAAATTCTCCATTACTGTAATAAACTTTTGGTTCATTTTCTTGGTATGTATTGTATGTTAGTGAAATTAAATGTTATATTCTACTTTAAGAATTGTTTATTTCTAAATGAGCTATTGCAAAAAAAAAAAAAAAAAAAAAAAGAGAAAATAAGAGTGTGCAATAGTATTTGAAAGCCATTAGAAATTGTTGGATGTACATCATGCTTCAACCACTGCAAATCTTGGCCACAGAAATGGAAACCATTAACAAAACATTAGAACAAAGCTGGAAACTGCTGATTATCAGTTTGCCACTGTCTTCAGATTTAATGCAGTACTTGGCTCAAAAAGTTCTTTAAAAATCCCCAATATAAGTGAAAATATTTACAAAATAGAATGTCTCTCACTTAATGTCTATTGGGCAATAGTCTTTTAAAACTCCACAGGCACTTGTAAATCTGTCAAAAGAATCACTGCCCATAAACAAACTTTCATGTAAAGAGCATTTCAGTGTCAATCAAATAGGATTTCAATTTTTTTAAGCACCATTTTTAAAGTAAACGCAAAACCAGAAATAGTTTAATGTTGATAACAGTAAATTACTAACTATTTACTCACCAGACCCACCAGTAGCATTTACAGGAATCATCCTGACAGTGAAACCAAGTATCAACACCATGAATTCCTATAAACCTGTCACTGACACCATCCCCCATGAGTTATGCCACTGTGAAAGCTGCTAAACCACACCCCTCCTGTTGTCTGCTCAGAGCCTGGGCAGGTTATACTGCCAGGCTTGCTATTTTATTTTCTTGTTATAATGCAGGGTTATCTTTGACAAGAGTGTTACTATTTGATAATTCTTTTTTAGAACCCCTACCTCTTCTGTCTCAAAGGGGATTTGAAACCATACCACAAAAGAATTCAATGTAGCACTAAATAACCCCAAATTTCTGTATGAGAGGATCCATGATTTTTTACAGTGCAGAA